CGTACATAACAAACGTCTACATTTAACATATCATAAGTTTGTTCATATTCAATACAATTAAATAATTTGGTCTCTATTAATAAATATATACTAAATATACATATTCTTGTATATATTGTTATAAATTTGTAAATTATAATCAAGTTATTAATGATCTTCTCCCATAACATTTCCAAATGATAAATATTATAATAGTAATAATAATAATAATAATAATAATAATAGTAATAATAAAAATAAAAAATAATACTATTGAAGTATTATATTTCAAGTGTAGTAACGTTTTGCATGATCAGTTCGTGCTGCTCGTAAATCTCCATTCGTAACGATATATAACATGGTAGCTTTTGAAATAATTATTATCTTGTTTATTATAACTATCTTTGTTATATTAATATTTAAAAAAAATAAAAGAAGAAAAAAAGAAAACACAAGTTTTCCGATAAAAATTGCATCTTGTTGCAATGTTAATTTCTTAACATGTCAATGTTTTCTTGAAATCTTGAGGAAATAAATCAACGCGTTGCATTAATAATAAAAAAAATTTAAAAATAATACAAAGAAAAAAAAACAGATGATAATAAAAAAATATTATATACATTTATTATTATATTATATATATAATTTGAGTTCGCTTATTGTGCGTTTGTGTGCTCTATTAATAGCATTCTTCCTGCAAGTTAATCATTTCAAATTAGATTCATTGTCAATGTTTTTTTGTTTTGTTTTTTTTTTTTATTAGAATTTAACAGGACATAATTTTATCGTAGTGTGAAGAAAAAATCTGATTTTCTCGTTTGTGTCTAATCTTGCATGAAAAATATTATTCGAATTCATTGTTCCTTGTTTTTTTTTTCTGTTTTTTTTTTTTTTTTTTTGTTGAAAATATTTTTTATGTTTACCTTGGCAGAGTAGCACACCCGATTTATTGCACTCACTCTCTCACACAACCTCCTCAAATTATCGTCCAAAATCGAGATTTTATATTCTTCTCAAACGATAGAAAAAAATCGATCGAATAATCGAATTTATAATAAGCCTAAAGACAAATTTTATATATACATTTTAACTAGCATGGTATGAAAGTCTTGAAAAAACAATAATTTTCAATAGAAATAAATATGAACAAACCAATTGGAACTTTTAGATATGATGATTCAAAACAAAAAAACAAAAAAAATACAGTAGAGTATATACATTATACAAAAAATATATATTTAACGTCGTCTAAAATTTCCAATTGTGTTTTTTTTTTTTTTTTCCATTTATTTATTTATTCTATGAGAAGTATTTTTCACGTTGTTGCTTTACAAATTTTGCTTCGTTTATAATTTAAGCCATTTGTCAAATAAAATCGATATTTAATCGATAAGGAAGATCAGCAAGAAGCCGCCGCCATATTTGATTTGATCGAAACAATGTTAAATATTTAACCAATCTCCAACCTTTCAAAATTTCATCTTAAAAAATAATTATTGAAAAAACTTAAAGACTCTCATCTGTTGATTTAATTCTAATTTCAATTTTCTTTCAATTTATCCTATTTTTCATTGAATAACATTAATATTAATGAGAGACTAAGAAATCAAAGCAGCAGTCGCCATATTGAAAAAGATCGAGATACAATTTAATTTGATTTCCTTTCATAATCAAATTTTTGAAATATTATTTGAAATGAAACTTCAAAAGGGGCAAGGCAGGCCATCGCTGATTTATCATAATTATAATTATTATTTTTTTTTCTTTTTATATATTTATTTATTTAATTATTTATTTATTTTCTTACTATTATAACAAAGTAACACAAATTACTTCTCACAAGAAAAAAAAAAACAAAAAAAAAAAAGAAAAAGATACGAAATATCCCAAATAATAATAACATACATATAAACACTAGATATGCCACCATTTTTTATCACATTACTCAAAATGACTGACTGGTGTATAAAAAAAAAAAATAAATGCCTTTTTGAGGCTTCCCAGTGTCTTTATTTACACTTAAAAAATAACAAAAAATGTTTAACGATAATAATTTTAATAGATAAATGAATTTATAGACATTTTTAAATAACAAAACGCTCGCTTAATTATTTACAAAACTCAAATGTTACATGAACGTAGAAGTAGACATTTTGAATTAAAATGACTGCTCCGGTATATCTAGTGTTAATATAATCCAACAATTCTCTCAATTACTATTACTATTACTACTACTACTTACTATTACTACTTACTATTACTATTTACTATTTACTATACTATTTCTACTTTTGATCAGAGAGAGTATCCATTTTTTGTTCTCTTTTCTCTTTTCCATTACTTCCCCACCATAGCCAACGTCATCGACCTTGAACGGTTTTCGACGGTGTCGAGCACTATACGATTGTGAGGCTGATAACGAGGACGAATTATCATTCCGTGAGGGTGAGGTTATAATAGTAACTAACGAACAAACCGACGATGACAATTGGATGGAAGGTGCATTGGAAAGGGCACCTGAAAGGAGAGGAATGTTCCCGATAAGCTTCGTTCACATGCTGCAAGATTAACATTCGGTAAGCCTAAACTCGTTGGCAAGTGTCTCGAGTACGGCAAGTTCAGTAAGCATCGCAAGTCTTGGAAGAAGAAATTGGCTGAGAAAACAAAAGGATTGAAGATGAGACATTTCAAGAATTTCGAACGATTTCGAAACAAAACGAAACAAAACAAAACAAAGCAAGGATTTACTTTTAACAAATGTGAATCCTTTTAATTATTATTCAAAATATATTTCGATTTTTATTAGGGGATTTTTGTTGTAGTTGTTGTGTTGTTGTTAACACGTTGTGAATGCCACGTCAGTCATTGATGACTGACATTGAACTTTCAATTCAGGCCACGTCAGGCACCAATGCCTGACGTTCATCTTTTCATTTTCATCTTTCGTATTCACGTGGCGCCACAACGTGTTAAAAAGGGAAGAGGAAAAATGAAAATGGGTTTAATCAGGGTAGGTTTAATTACCACGCGGTATGAAAATGATGATTTTTGTTTTTTGTTGATTGTATTTGTTGTTTAAAGTACCCCACCTCTTTTCAAGAGTCGAACGGAAATTGTGTTCCTCAGTTATTATTATTTTTTTTTTTCTTGTATTTTATTTACACGTTTTTCGTTTCGTTGTTTATGATTTTTTTTATAATTTGGTGGAAAAAAAAAAAAGAAAGAGAATGTTGTACCGAATAATTGTATATTGTTAACGTTCAAATATTTTTTTGAATTAACGATCACGTGATCAGAATTTTTCGTTTTCCTTTTTTATTATACAAAGTGGAACAAAATTGAACAAAGGAACGTGTGGAGAATGGGAACGGAAAAGTGGCGGCAAAATTTGAAATCGTTTCTTCTTCTTTTTTTTCTAATATCAAAGAAAAATAATAAAAAGTTAATCGAAAAAGAAAATGGAGGAGGTGGTGTATGATGATAGATGTTAGTTCGTGATCAATTGAAAATTAATATTTCAAATGAACTATAATATTATTGATGATCAAGTATTCGAACAAATTAAAAAGATATATGTATAATAATATTCAATTTAAAAAAAAAAAAAAGAAAAGGATGAACAAAGAAAACAAGGGAAAAGAGAGAAAAAGAAAGTATATGAAAGAAGAAGAGAAAAAGAAAATCAAAAAAAGAAAACAAAACAAAACAAAATAAATATCGAATTAAACCCCTATCGGTATGAAATACACGACGAGGATTATTTCGATGTGCTTAAAAATAAACGAATCCGCTAAAAACGGATAAGTTGCTTGGTTCTAAGCCGTTACCAAAATGTGATATCGTATATTTCATTGTAAATTGTCGTAGAATATACACACGCATACAAACGCACACAAAAACACTCACATACACACATATATATATATATACACGCGAGTGGGTATTTAAAAAAAAACAAATGTTTGTTTACACGTGTACGAATACACACACACACACACACACATATATATATATATATATATATATATATATATTAAATGCCATTTATAATATTCTAATGTGAAATGACACACAAAAGGGTTAAAGAAAAATTCAAAGGTAACGGATCATTAAATGAAATTCTTTAAGTGTGTATATGCGTGTGTATGTTGGTACTCGCGTAAGTATATATATATAAATGATAGGTTTACTACTATATATATATATAAAAAACTCCATCCTGTTTAAATATAAAAAAAATATTAAATTAAAATATTGCATGGATAATTACGAGTATTATATTAATATATATATATATACAAAACATTCATATACACATACATTTATGCAAACACAACGCGTACATAAACCTATATATATATACAATTCGATTTAAGATGATGCATTAGGAGTATGTGTAAATTTTTTTAATGCCATATTATGTGCTAGTTAAAAAGAAAAAAGCTCTAAAAGCTCTATGTAATAATGGAGTATATAAACACTCATTTACATACACACTCAGACACACACACATATAAATATAGATATATTATATATATATGTATACATAGAGAGAGATATATTGATTAGAAATCTAACGAGATTTAAATTAACGTATTCTTCGATATCGATTTTAGGAAAATCGAAAATGAAAGAAGATTTTAAATCGATTTCTCGTTTTAGCTTATTTTTAAGATAATTACGTCGTATAAGTATATACATATATATATATATATATGAGAAATGAGATGACACGTGTATGTTAAAAAATTCGAATTTAAATAGTATTCTAATAATACGTGTGAATATAAACGAGATGATGATACATAACCAAAGAAATACCATGAAGTAAATAAAAATGAAGTTTAAAAAACTAGTGAGAGAAATCTTGTTAAAAAAGAATTTCAAAAAAAAAAGAAACAGAAAAGAAAAAGAAAAAAGAAGAAAATAAAAAGAGAAACCGATTATCTTCAGTGGGAACGACAATGAGATATGATGGTCAGCGTAGCGTAGTGGATTTCAAATTTCGCGCCTTGACGTTCGCGCGCTTTGGAAGTCGCGTTTGAATCTTATTATTATTGTTATTATTATTATTTAGTTTCCTTTTTCTTTTCTTTTTTTTACTTTTTACTTTTTTTTTTATTTTTTTNTTTTTTTTATTTGAAAACTCTTATCAATGTAATGTAATTTATGATAAAAGAGGCACACACATTGGAACGCATGGAATGCATACGAAGGGGATAAACAAAATAATGAAAATGAAAATGAAAATAGAAACAAACAAAAAATTAACATAATTAAATGATATAAAACATAAATTTTGTCTTTCATTTGTGACGACTTGAAGTTACGTTTTGTTTTATAGAAGAGACATTTCTAAATTTTTATCGTCGCATTAAAAATAATATTGTGTGCGTGACACAATGAAAAAAAAAAAAAAATCTTCACGTAACGTAAACATGCCATTGTTAGCTTGTCGGGCAAAAAAAAAACTTTACAAATTAAGGAATTATATGTGTAGCGCGCATATTTTTGTGTATATATGTACGTATAGAGAATGATGAATATGTGTATGAATGTTTTTTTTTTTGTGTTAGTGAGCGAGAGAGAGAGAGAGAGAGACATAGATATATGTAAATGGAAATGAAAGTGTGCAAGAGAAAAGAAAGGAATAATCAATGTTTATATATTATAAAATGAAACACACAAAAAATTCACTTAATTATTATAATAGTTTAAGTATATATATATATATACATTGGACACGGTGTTGTCTGTTAAAAATGATGGCAATTGAAAAAAAAGGAGACACACTCATTTTCTCATCCTTTGCATTTTCGAAAAAAAAAAACACACACACACACACACATACCCACGCTCATAGAAAATATTAACACAAAAAACCACACCCACGTTTAGACGATAAGTATTTATTATTATTTTATAGCGCCTTATTAATCGTGAAAAAACAAAATGATGGACGATAAATAAGGAATAAAATATTGAAAGAAACACGACGAAAAGGAGTTTAAAAAAGGGATAAGAAAAAGAATGAAAGAAAAGTGAGAGAGAGAGAGAGAGAGAGTAATATTATAATAGTATGATTGAAAAAAAAAGAATAAAAAATAAAACCCAGAAAATAAGATAATGAAAAGAAAAATGGAGAATGGGGTGGCGATTAGAGGGGGGTGGGGGAGGGGTGAAAAGAATGAATAGAATTTTTCGAATTACTTCGTACGACATTATGAAATAAGACTTTCATTGTAATTCGTATGCGTATTAGATACGGAAGAATAAAAAAAAACCCAATTAATAATTATAACAATAATAATAATAATAATAATAATAATAATAATAAAAAAAGAGAAAAAATACACGAATTCCGCGATAATAATATATTAGCGTTACTTACTGACGACAGGCATATTTCAAACTGTGTGTTGTGTATAACACATCATCAAAAAAAAAAAAAAAAGAAAAAAAAACTACTCTTCTCTGAAAGAGAGAAGAATTTATTCGATCATCATATTAAAAAAACGTATTTATTGATTATACCTAAAAAAGATTTCATATGTGCATTAGTATCAAATAATGTCGAATATTTGCAGTTGGGATGTATAACGCGAAAGAATTATTATAATCTTTTTCTTTTTTCTCGAAATTATTAAAAATATAAATATATATAGATATAGATATATATATATATATATATATATNCGAAAGAATTATTATAATCTTTTTCTTTTTTCTCGAAATTATTAAAAATATAAATATATATAGATATAGATATATATATATATATATATATATATGATAAAATTATTTAATTATTCAACATTTATCCTCAATGAAAAACTTCAATTTAATAAAATCACTGATTGAAATTATTAAAAATATAAATATATATAGATATAGATATATATATATATATATATATATATGATAAAATTATTCAATTACTTCTAATATAACTACTGTCGGTAACTTATCGACGACGATATACTATCTGTCGGCAATGTAGAAAATGATATTATCCATGATAGATTAAATATAAAAAAATACATTTCTATAGATAGAGTCGGTAATAAAGAAAGAGAAAGAATTAAATATAAAAAAAATATAGTTGTAAAATGAAAAATACCTGTTGCTAAGTATTATTATAATGATGATTTCGATAATATATTCTTGAAATCATGAAATTCATTGAAAATATCAAATTGTATATTAAACGAGAATAAATTGTAATTAAGCATCACCGATCTGCAAATATTTGACAAAAATAAATAAATAAATAAATAAAAATATATATAAAGATATATACGTATAGATCTTAATTTTAAGGAAAAAAAAGAAGTAAAACAAAAAAAAAACAAATCATATTTCACTTGAAGGATGACAATATATCGATATATATTCCCACTTGTATACTTCTTTCATCACCGTTGAAATTATGCACAAATGTCTTTAAGTCGAGCGCGAATTCAAATGGAAAAGAAGAAAAAAAATGAAAAAAAAAAAAAAAAGTAATGAAAATAAATGCTATTTAGAAAGCTGCATAAAAAAATTATTTGTTTATAATTATTATTTCTAAAATATATATATATATATATATATATATATACTTATTATTTCATTTGAAAAATAATAATAATAATATAAAAATTTTCCCTCATTAATTAATAATGAATTAATAATATTAAGTAACAATAATTATTACATTTATATTTTTTAATTTCAA